CAATTCACACGAATATATATGCAAAGAATTCCAAACATATTTATATCAGTATACAGAGAGAATTTTTTCTTAGAATTTACCATGAAAATCATGATAATCGTGGGACAATATATGCTATTGGAAGAATTATGTAAGAGAGTTTCTTTGATTAATATTATACCACGATTTACGATAAAAAATATTAAATCTACCACAATATAAGATAAAATATGAATCAATATTTTTTACTATGTACATATTAATATCTTTTATTGTGCTAAATATTAATGAGAGAAACTCTTATAAAATTCTTCCAATACCATATTGTCCCACGATTAGCATGATTTTCAGGGTAAATTGTAAAAAGAAAATTTTCTCCGCGTAGGAAAAGAAAATTACAAAATTTAAGAGCAGGCAAGCGGAGAGACATAAATTTATATATAGCCGTGAGTTAGGTTTAAGAAACTCTCTTGCGAATTATGAATGCCCTGATAAGCATTCAACGACGCAGAGGAGTCGACACAGCGAGCGGCTCAACGTCTAGTCCGTTTACGCGGAATATTTTCGCACGGCTCGAAAGAGAGGTAAGTATGTGTATTGTGTCTGGCGGGAGTGTGCTCTGCCGGATCAATTATGCTAGTCTCCCCTAACGCGCCACTCGCTCGCTGCTCCTGCACCGTGTTGCCTTCGCGAACGTAACGGTTAGGCAGCGACGAATGTGCATCCGATGTGCAGACTGCACCAAGCGAAACTTCCGTGCCGCTTCGTCTATAGTTGATAGACCCTGCGCCAGCGGTAGCTCGAGCTCGCACTCTCTTTGAATTAAATATCGAAACATATATCCACCCTCACACGTGCACCCAACTCTTTTTTTCCCGCAGGACTTATCCTGAATCAACCGAACTTTTCAGTCATTTATATAGAGCCGGAAATATTTTCAAGACTTTGTGGAAATAGGGACGGACGTGATAATGATTTGTGGCAACCGTATATGTTACCGTTATATTTAGAGAAGCGTAAATGTGATTTTTATAGCTTATTTCTTAGAAATGTTTTAGCTCCTATTCTTGTTTTTCAAAATAATATTGTCGTACGAAAGATTAAAAATTTGTCAGATCCTGGCTAATAATTTAGATTAAATTTGATTTCTCATTAATACAATATTATAATAAAAACATATTTTTTAATTTCATATATATTAAAAACAACACATTTTTTACGAGTACTAAACAGTCTTTAGTTTAAGTCTTATAACTACAGTAATTTATACGACGAGATTATAATCTACTACGTGCCAGCACGTACATATACCAAATGATCGATGCAGAATGTCATATATAAACAATTGCAAGATCAATAAGAAACATAGATATATCACTGACGTCAGTTTTGGATTTAATATTTCTGTTCTTCGATCACTCGAACGTGAATGTGGTTCATGTTCGAAGTTTGCGATTACGAATACAAGATTTTATCTTCGATTAGTCCTTCAAATATTAAAAAGAAGAGAACATAAATATGCACATTCTTAGCTATCCAATGCTTGAAACTTATATAAAATGCTTTATATAAAATTAATATAAAGTCTATTTTAAAACAACTGTTTTTCTCCTAACTTAAATAGTTCAATATATAACAAAACAATATATAACAAAATAAAAATATTTATTTACTTATTTTTAAAACAAATAAGGAAATATGAAAATTTTTACTTCAATTAATATACAAAACTTTAATATTTTTATATAACAATTTTTTATTATTTGCAATCACAAATACAAGATTTTATCTTCGATTATTAAAGCCCTTCAAGCATTAAAAAGAAGAGAACATAATATACACATTCTTAGCTATCCAATACTTTCCAAAGTTTATATAAAATGCTTTATACAAAATTATTAAAAAGTATATTTTAAAATAACTGTTTTTCTCTCTCTTCCTACTTAAATATTTCAGTATATATAATATACACTACTGGAATTTAAAAAATATTTATTTACTTATTATTATAAAAAAAAATAAGAAGAAAATAGAAATTGTTATATTGTAGAAATTTATAAATGATTGTAACGAATATAATATTTTATCAATAAAATTGTCTATTAATGCGAATGTTCTTTCAATTAATATACAAAATTTTAATATTTTTATATAACAATTTTTTGTTATTTTACACATTAGAAACAAGTAGCGGATATTTTAGAAATTAAATTAATAAAGCAAACCGCGTTTTTCGTGACGCCACTTCAAACTTCCGTTCTTCGATTACGCTAATGAGAACGTAACTCGCTTGTGTTAGAGTTTGCGAGATTTTTGGTCTCGTTCTACATGTTGGGAACAACATACGCGGTGAAAGGAAGTGCCGTCTTGCGGCTCGATCGGCGACTTTGTAACGTCCGTTATTACGCCTGCTTAGAAGAATTTGGATAGCACGTGATAGAATATCCGTAGAAGCAACTTCTATTGAAAAGTCTGATATTAATTTTTTTATGCTTTACTTTCTGTCATTCATATAATCCCGATTGCACGTTGACTGTTGTTTTTTAAAACTTAAAATTGTCGACGCAAAAAAAAATCACTATGTGTTTAGAGCAACTTAATGCAAAAAATTTTAATGACAATTTTTAAATCTTCAATAAACAATTTTCTTTATAATATTCAACATCGAAATATGTGTAATATATGTATGTATTTCTTTTAATTCATTCGAATTAAATTAAGAACTCCAATTTTCGTCATTCGTATTCGCAACTTTCAAATTTAAAATTCATGAAAAACAATATTATTTTTTAAATAACTTATAATTTGAGAATAATTATCTCCATGTTTTAATTAATAATTTGCTCTAATTTTTAAAATTTATTAGAAAATTCGGCAATGTTGGAATATCTTATCTTGTATATTTGCTGCATTATAATTTCGTAATTTATTATAAACATATCGCGAGAAATTTAAAAATATTACAAAGGAGACAATAATCTTAATAACAAAGGAAAACAAATATAACGAAGTCCCCCAAGAGAAAGAAAGAAAATTATAGAAGAGAGGTCGAATTGACAAATTTTCTCTTATATGGGAGCAAATTCGAATATACAGGAGACCGGTCATAATTCATAATTTAAACGCGGTTTGCTTTAATTTTTAAATTATCGAGCTACTTGTTTCCACAATAATTTTGTTATAATATATAAATAGATATTAAAATGTTTTGTATCAAATGAAGAAACATTCGTGAAGAATTCAAAAATATTACAAAGGACAATTATAGAAAAGGAACGTAACAAAATCTGGACAAAAAAGAAAACAAACATAAAGAGGTCACCGAAGAAAAGAGAGAGAGAGAACTCTTGTCCGAACTGTGCAAGAGATCGAAAATTCGCATATTTTTCCCTATATGGGATCGAATTCGAATGTACGAGAGACCGGTCGATGACGAAGGGCGAATATCAATTAAGCCCACGTATGATTATCACGCTGCAATCAGGCCGCATCGCGGAAAAACAGAGACGAGCTCGAGTCAGCGAGATAGAAGGAGAACGAACGAAGAAGAAGAAACAATGGAAATCGGAGATAAAGAATGGAAGAAATATTTCTTCGGCAGAGATGATTATCTCGATTAGCATCGTCAAGGAGAAGAGGAATAAGCGGAAATGACTGATCGGAAATGAAGGAAAGGAATTTCTTAGAGCGGAATAAAGGAGCAAACGAGAGCGAGAGAGAGGAAGGGGTAACGCGCGCTTACATGCACGTATTATACAATAACGTAGGGATATTCTTGCACTCACCATCGGTCCTCTGGATGTTTATGCTGCAGCCGACGTCGATGTTGCACGTACCGTGATCCATGGTCATTTAGTCGGTCTTGCACACTGCGTTCGACACCATAAAACGCGCCCGGCTTCCTCCGTTAGCACCGTGCAACGAAACGGGGCCTCGCACGCGGCCGATTAATCGACTCGAGTGAGAGAAAGAGGAAAGAGAGACGAAGTCGCGCGATGACGGTTGACAGTTACGGCAGCGTTCAAACTTGCGTGGCGACCGGTCGAACCTCTCTTCTCCCTCCTCTTTGGTCCTCAACGACGACGACGACGACGATGGATGATGATGATGATGATGATGATCTCCTTTCTCTCTCTGTCTCTCGTCTATTGTCCCCGTTGTCGTTGAACCTCGTTCCGAGAACCGCGTTCTCCTTTAGACTCCAAGGCACGCCCGATACGAATCTCCCGTATCTAGTCAAGGTTCTCGTTCGTTTCCCGGCCGAACGTTCGCGCGTCGTCGTCGTCGCCGTTGTCGTTCCCGATCCCGTTGTCGTCGTCGTCGACGAGACGGCGGACGACGATCAGCAGCGTGAAGAAGTGCGCGCGCGCACACACACACGACGTCCGCGTATCTGCCGAATCGCAGCCGCGACTCGCTCCTTGGAGTATCTATCTCGCGCCGAGGAAACAACCGTTTGCTTTCGTGCCGGGATACACTGCCAGTGTCCGTTATTGACAACGGAAGAGCTGCGATGGCGCCAGCTTCTGGCCGGCGCGCGCGGATCGCCGCGACATCTGCTGGCAAGACTCTTCAGTCGCGCGAAGGTAGACGATACCGCTGCTGACATCTGTGCTCCGCTCCGAGTACTGCAAGTCGAATTTTGTAGATAATGATATATATATAAAATATAAATATATAACAGTAAGCTTTATATTTTTAATATAAGCGGATTGAGGAGTTTAAATTCTGGATTTTTAAAAACTTTAGATTTTATATTGTCACGACATTAATTCTTTTAATTGTAATTTAACATTTGTTTGTTTTACAGAGAATATCGTGATTATATGAAAATCAAGATCCTCGAAATATATATTGAGGAAAATTGTTTCGAAAAACTAAATAAGTGGAATTATTAATATTATTTATTGTCTTTTCAATGAAAAATTATACTGAAATATCTATGATTATTAAGTATCGAAATAATACTTTGAATTATTAATATTATTTGTTTTTTTAATGAAAAATTAAACTGAGTTATTTATGATCATCAAGTATCGAATACTAATAATATTATATTTGTCTTTTCAATGAAAAATTAAACCGAAATATTTATGTGATCACGAAGTATCGAAATAATTTCCAGAGAAATTTCTTCTCTCTTTTCCAATTTCAACATTTTTTATTTGCTCCCTGCAAATAGTGAATCCGTGACTTGAATAACCAACGATTTCAATTCTTCCATATTAAACTCCTCAGAGTCTAATAATCGTTCAATAATGCGCACCGGCCTGAAAGTATATACATAAATCATATCATTATCATTACACACACAGAAACACGACAAACACATTTAATTCTTCATAAAGTATAAATTTATCATATCAAAAAGTAACTCTCACATGTCTTGTTTTGCAGCTTGCGGTAGACGCGGAGGTAACTCGCCGACTTTAAACTTTTCATAGACCTATATAAAAATTCTTTGACTTATAAAGATATTCATGATGAAAAAAATGATACGTTATAAAAATTATTTTATTTCACACATATGCAATAAATCTTCAACATAATTACCTCTTCTGCTCGTTTAACAACGTCTTCGTCTAAACCCGCCATTCGCGCAGCTGCATGTGCGAAACTACATGTCGTATGTCCAGTAGTTATACGATAAAGATGTGCCACGGAACAGTCGTCGTTTATGACAAACTCGAAAGTCTATAAATAGATATAATATTACTAAATATAATTAAATAAATAAGTGTAATAAATAATTAAAGTAAAATAATAATATAATGCATATATAATTATGCGTATTTTACCTGTTCCTTGATTATTGGATTTTGCGGCAACATGTTCATTATCCGATGCATGTGCGTGGCCACAAACACGTGTGGACAGTGAATCCCTCGCTGGACGAAATTATTCAAAACAGCTGCGAGCAATGACAGACCACTCACTTCGGATGTTCCGTTTCCGAATTCGTCTAAAATGACGAGGGAATTTGATGTGGACGCGTTGAGAGAGGAGTTTATCTAAAATATTGACAATGATGATGTCAAGTTTGAAGATATACACACAGAAAATACAGTTGAAAGAATGAAAATATGCCTTGATTCAAATACATTTTATTCTTATAATAGCGCCAAATATAAATAATCTTGGATAAAGGATAATTTAGCTTTAAAACAAAAGTGCAAAATATTCTTGATTGAAGCTGAAATTTACTTCAATTTAAAAATAAAGTTGCAAAAACAAGTGAGCATCCGATATAAAGAGATACTTTCAAGTATATAATTACCTAATTCTTAGTTCAAATGTGACTAAGTTTGTTTTTACCATATAATGATTTTAAAACAAAATTATATCTTGAGGATAAAATATACTTTACACAAACTTAATTATTATTCAGGCAAATAAAGATTTGTGATTACAAAGAGTATTCTATGCTTAAATTAATCAAATAACGTTCAAGAATAAAAATGTATTTGAATCAAGGATTCCTTTTTTTCTGTGCAGTTAACGATTTGCGTCTTTGAAAAAAATTTAATATAATTTTTTGGTACTCTTTGGAAAAATCTACGTATATATAATCTGTATAAAAATCGATGTACCTGTCGCAAATCTTGCATGAACATGCTCGTATTTAGAGCAATACTTTCTATGGACGTAATTTGTGTCAGAATATGAGTCATTATTCCTATGGTGGCTGATTTGGCTGGTACGTAGCAGCCGACGTGAGCCATGAACACGATGAGTGCAATTTGTCTGAGATAAGTACTTTTGCCGGAAGCGTTCGGACCGGTTAAAACTTTTATGAGACTCTTTCCGTCCCCAGAGTAGGTGTCATTCGGAACGAACGTCGTTAAAAATTCTTGCAACGGGTGTCGACCTTGTTCCACTGCTATAATCTGACGCTCCACCATATTTGGCTTTACATAATTATATTCTCGGGCGACTACAGAAAATGCCAGTAACCTAATGTAAATAATGAACGAAATGTTTTAAAAGTTACATACTTTATAGATATATGTTAAGAAATCTAATTTAAATGAAGTTTTTTGCGCATTTAATATTAATTTCTCGCATATTTTTTCCATTAAATAATCATAAAATATTTAATTCACTCACGTATCTAATTCAGCGCATAATTGAATCGCATTGAAAATTGATGCTGCGTGTTTATTTATATATTTTACGAGCTTCAATATAATGTAACTTTCTCGCTTGGTAATCCTTAACATTATATCTCCTATACTATCGTCTAACTCTGAAACCAATGAAATAAATGCTATTATGTATAAAAAATTTATATTACAATATATTACGATATTATAAGCTACTTCATGTGTATCATAAAATGCAAAGAATATGAAATTATCGTAAAAATTATAAAACCTTTAGCACCGGGACTTTTAAAATAACGCGTGTCTTTACTAACAAATTTCAACTCTAAATTCTGAAAATTCTCATTGTCGGCTGGCGATGGATTCCGTTGAGTTAATGCTAAAAGATATCCGATATTCGGTATGTATACCATTCTGCAGGTTGTCACCCAAGATGGAAGATGCTCTATCATATCTTTCTCTGCCATTTGTGTCAGAGTCTTAGGTAAAGTGCCTCTTACGTGATGCACTGCATTTCAATGGAAACATGAAATTTAATGGAAATATAAAATTTAAACAGCTGAGTGCGCAATGCAATTTTAGAGATATATCCGAGACTCAAGAATTGCAATTTTTAATTCGTAAAAAAAAAAAAAAACCGAAATATATATTTACAGCATTATTCGAATTATGTGAAACAGATTAGCTTACATTTATCCAAGTGTGAATCCACGTTTGCTCGAACAATGAAATCATTTTCAGATTTCTTCGCGCTGAAATCCACTATGTATTCGATAAAATATTTGATGTAGCGTACTTCCTTTGTGATAGTATCAACGATTTTATGAAACAGCTTCACTTTTTTACGGTGTTCTTCGCATATGTCGGCGATGTAAATTATGGAAGATATCGTCTGCATGACACGAAATATAAAATAGAATGAGATAAAAATATGCGTAGTAAAAATATCATGAATAAATGATGATGATTAAAAATGAGAAATTTATTATACCTTATGCAATCGTACCCAATCAGAAAATTTAGCCTGCTGCGCTAAATGTCGATTCAAAGTAACATTAGTCAAACGATAAACCTGCTTTAAACATAACGTCAAATTCTCGACGATACTTTGATTATTCGGATTAAGGCAGAACTCGACGACTTCGAATCTTTCATTAAGAATTTCGATATTTCTTGTAGGATGTTGCAACGTTTTCCTACAATAAATGTTTAAATATTAATCTTTACATAATAAGAGAAACACATTATATATGATATAGTTATTTAAAAAATGATGACAATAATGTGGCCACAAATACTTGCCACAAAAAAAGCATTCCAGGACTTGATTGGCAACGGTTCAAAAGAATGAATAAGCTTTCGCTTTGTTTCTTCGATGCCGCATCGCCACACTTGAAAAGACTTGGATGATGTCTGGTGTGTACGATATTTAAAGCCTCGTAAGTATCGTCATTTATCATGACAATGTCACGTCTACATCCCAATGCACGGTAAAAAAATTAGTACACATACATTGTGAAATATAACGCATCTTATGGAAAAATAAATTATTGAAACCAGATCGCATTAAATTTAAATTGCAAAAAATTTATAGTAGTAATTAATAAATATAGATTGTGAGTACAAAAATGAATGCAATTGTTTAGAAACGTAATTGCGATTTTAATAAAAAAATATCTCTTAATTTTTATTTTAATTTTTTAATATTTTAATAAAAAAAAGATTTAATTGAACAAGCAAATCTCAACAAGGAGATTTTTTGATGGAACTCTTTTTTTTAAGGAATGATACTACAGTGAATTAAATTTCATGATTGTACTATCAATGCCACGTCTAAAATATTCTGAACGTGAGGTCAGAAAGACTCACAATGTCACGCTAGTCAAAGATACAAAGCTAGGTCTGGCAGCTGGATCCTTATTCAGCGTAATATTGCTCCAATGCTGATCGATATGGATCAAGAGCAGACCCAATGTGTGTATCATGACGCTCGATTTGAAATTCAACAGGCCCTGAAGGAAGACATGTCTCTCGACGTCATTGGCGTTCGCCGGCTCCGACTCGAGCTTGAGACTTCGAACTCTGTGATAGCATCTGTCGAAGCTGTGTTCCTTCTTCCGCATCACCCTCAGCGAGACCTGCGTCGGCCCCACACTGCTCGTATCCGCTGATCTGTTCAATTCACTCGACGTTTCCGACATTACCAAAGCCTCGATCGTCGTAAGGAACGCGTCGGATGTACCGGAGAACGTGATGACGTATCGTGGTTGGCACTGCTTGTACAGTGTCTTCGTGATATGAAAATTAACACCGTCGTCGTAGGTATCGTCCATCACGAACAATTCGGACGTGAGAAAGTTGAAATAGGCTGCACCCAACTGATTGTTCGACCAGATCATAGCTAAAATGATCTGCGAGGACAAATACAATTTCCATTTACAATCGTGAAAAATAAAACAAATATTTGTAAAATTTACATAATAAAATAGTACCTTTATATTACACATGTTTTATAAAAGTGAGAATTTCTCAGTTTTAATTGTAATAATAAAATTAAACTAAAAAGTAACTAAGAAATAAAAATATTATTTAAAATAATTTCAATATATGAATTCGAAGATACTAGCCTCGTCTCTATTAGAAAAATTGCCAAACTGCATCGCAGAACTAACATTGCTCGATTGTTTTTGCGCTGTAGCGCTTGATTGCGTCATTGGAATATTCGGGCTTCTAAACTCTTCTTCATCGCTGCTAGTTTCGTTTAATATCGATTCGAATTCCACTGGACTAAAGTGAAAAACATATGCTGGCGTGTTAATTTCAAAAATAGAATACAACAATATTACTTTCATCATACATGAATCTAATATATGTAACCCAACTTATCTGTATAAAAGAAAGAAACTAAAAATAATACAATTTTATGAAGAAACAAATACATAATGAACATACACATTAGCTAAAAAAGGAGTCGATGATCTATTTCTTGAGCAACTCGGCAAGCTCATTTTTTATCGTTCGTTTTTCGGATTTTAGATTCAAAATGCACGCAACAATGCTACGACAAAGTAACAACTGAATGACCTGAAGTTGATTCGTAAAAGACGTTAATCGTGTTCGCTAAGTTTGCACCAAACTTCACATTACATATTTTATAATTTTTTTCTTTGAAGTTTTCAAATAAAATATAAAAAAAAAAAAAACAACGCAATTAGACTATAAATGTTTAAATATAATATTACATAAAAATACGTACCAATTTTTACATGCATATAAACATTTTACATAAGAATTTCAAATATATAAATTACATATTTATATAACATAGTTCGCGCGCATAATTTCAGTACAGTTGTCGCACAACTTATTCAATCTATCGAAAAAATGCGGGAAAAGGAAAAAAAGAAAAAATCGTACATATATTCAATAACAACATTATTCTTTGATTACATTACATGAGCAAATATTTGCAGTCGCCTGCAATTGTTACCTGTACATAATTACAAAATATTGCCCTAAACCTGTTTAAGTAATGGGTACCCGGTATTATTGGTATTCGCGACGCGATTTTATAAGTGAAATATAAAACGATCTTGCGCGCGATGTAAGATTATGATCTTTGATTCAGCTTTTGCTTTGTTAATACTTAAGAACATAAATAATAGATGGACGTACCAAGAGTTGTATGGAACACATTTGGTTAGGAGTTAGATCGTGTTACTTGTTACACATTATATATATAAAATATTACTTGACATTAGTTTTCACGCCTACACATAATGCTGCGTGAAGAAATGATTACCACGATTGCGCTATTACAACGATTGTTATATACATTCGCAAAAAGTATAAAGGGTTCTCGGAAAATATTCTCTAAATCGCATTAAAAAACCTACTTCTCTGTAAATTTTAATTATAAAATCTTGTTGATTAAAATCGTTAATTATAAAATCTCAATTTATAAAATTTCATATTAATTCGTTAACTTAACAATCGATAAGTTGATGTATATAAAATATATCATTTTTATATAGCGATCTTTCGAGTGTACAAAAGTACATAAAAGTTTCTAAAATTCGGTATTTTTTCATACAAAAATATATGTATATGAATAATATCAACCAGATCTTTTTTCGCACAATTTTGTTAAGATCTCGATTTTCCACATTTGAAAAGGTCTTTTAACTCGGAATAGGCGGAGGTGGTTGGGGATTGAACGTGATGGGTCGATAGCTCTTCTCCCTCACAAAGGGCTGCACTCCGTTCAATATGAAACCGTTCATAGGGTTTCGCTCTTGTTTGATCGGCTGCACCGGGCTCTCGTCCTCCGAGCTGACGGCTTCCTCGCTGCGTGCTGGGCTAGCCGACCTAATTAACCGGTTCTTACTCTTTTCGCTCCGTTTCGACATCTCCTCATACTACCTACTTTGGAATCAGCAGAGAACGCCACGACTGGTCATGAATTTCGCAATTGCATGTTGTAATGAATATCCAAATAAATAATAATACACAAGTCTCGAGCAATTTGTGAAAATGTAAATTAATTTAGAATAAAAGAAATAATTTTTGTATAAGTTATTTTTGAAATATATATATATATATATATATATATATATTTTTTTTTTCTTATATAATTATGAAAAAAATTTTCTATATAAATTCAAAAAATACTTTTACATAATTTTCTACAACTAAAATCATCGATTTTTCCAAAACTTAATATTTTAATAAAGTCAACGTTGTTTTTTGAAAGAAAAGCACTTTCGTCTATAGAGAACCAATATTTTGCGATCAGTTGAACGCACGTGACGCCTCTGCTGTATTTGTCAACGCGCTGAACGCCAAGGCAAACACCTATTCTCCACTCCACGAGTGGATCTAGTAAAATATTAGCATAGTCCTTATATAGATGCACGCGGCCGCAAGAGTGGAGGACACAGGTTTGCCGGAGTTCAACGCATCGGAGGATAAACCAAGACGCAATAACGCGGCGTGCGACGATCTTTCTTCAAGACGTAACGTAACGCTTTCGACAATTGTGAGATGCGTTGGTTGATTTATCGCACGATGCTCGCCACCTATGTATGCTCGCCCAATACGTAGTTAGAAGCGCGATCGTACTTGCTTGGCTTGGTTTAATGAAGCGTTGTTAAATGACTAGAGGTGTTAAGACTACTTACTTTACGCCCACCTTAAAACCTGTGCGAGATAAAAAATCAGAAAGCCAAGAATTAGTAGGTAATCGCACGGTACGCGCAACTTCTTATCTACGAGAGCGATTAGTAGATTTAATTACTGCTACTGTTTCTATGGCAAACATTAATTATCATATTTATTAACTTGCAACGAAGACAAGCTTGCGGAAGAAGCTGTCACATCGAATATCGAAGTATGTAATATCGAGGTAACGAATTATGATTCACGTTATAAGTTATATATATACTGAAGCAAATGCAAACAGAAATTAGATTTTAGACTTTAGATCGAACAAAGAAAAATGCAGAAGTAAATTTTAAAAAATTATGCATACTTTTCTAGATTTCCAAGAGAGAATAATGTTATTTAAATATAAAAGAATAAATTAAATGGAATTTTTACATCACATAATTTTAATATTTTTTATTTTAAAATAGAAAAAAGCTGAGAATAATAATTGTAAAAACTGTTCTCACTTTTGTAATCCTCTTTGATATTTATTTAATAGACTATAGAGAAAAGAAAATTGTATATTGCTCACGTTTACTTCAGTATAAGGAAATGTATCAGAAATCATAAATGTCATTCGGGTCTCTACGTAAAACCTCCCTTTCAGGCATTATGCGTCCGCCGACAACATTATTATTTCGGGAAACATTCTCAGGAGAATCGTTATCTAAGCGGAAGTCAAAGGGACCAGATTATATCGAACATACCTAGACCGAAGGGGTTTACTCTTGCCGCCGGTTTGCCTGGAATGCGGTCTCGTGTTCGGTTGCGATAGCTCGCTGTCGCTGCTCGCTAAGGAAGATCTCGCCGCCACGGCCCCGTGAGCAAAATCTTTCCTGTTAGGTAATGCGTTAGAGAATTACTTGCCATTAGCGGTTTCGTCTCGCAATCGCGAACTCTTGTATACGGACAGCGGTCTGACATGGCCGCGAGCACGTGAGTGAAAGTGAATTCTCTTTGAAATTACGGACTCTTCTCATATGTATTGCATAGAGCACCGAAGACCTTTACCCTTCTTAACCCTTTAGCTTACGTATTGAAACACTGCGTTCGCTTCTCGCTTTCTTTTCATCAAGCATCGCATGGTATCATTTAGTATGTGAAGAATAAGTACAAATGGAAATAAAAGTAATTATTTTAATAGATAGACAATTTTTTGTTTTAAATGTAAAAATATTTCAGATTTTTCTTGGCGAAAATTCACTTTCAAAAATTATATGTTAGAGAAATTTAACTTTTAATGAAGTTCAAGAAATTAAATGTCGTTTATTATTATTAAAGACCAAAGATTTCATTTGTTACATTTACCTGTAATTGTCAGACCTGGGCGTAGAGTTGAGATTCGCGGTTTTGCTGGTCGTGTGCGCATCCACAAAAGCAGCCGAGCTCTTAGGAATATCGCATACCACTTTGGGATGCACCGTTGTCTGTTTGTACTCCAGGTGCGACGACGAATCAGTGGGCGTCCAGTCATAATATTTTGGCCGGTAATCCTTGTACTCTCTCGGTTGCTGTTGATGCTGTTGGTGCTGCTGCCTAGAATCCGCGCTAGGTGCTCTCTTACGCAAATACTCGTCGCTGCTGACACTGCTCTTCCGTATGGTCGCCAACTTCGTCGGTGGGACCGAGGTCGGAGACGATGCTGATGACGACGGCGCGCCGTCTGGGTCCGCGCGAGATAATTGTGAGCTGTCCCACACGGTGGGCAGGCTACTTACAATTCAAACACATTGTTAAACACAATAGCAAACAATTTGCAATTTTTACAAATTATTTTCAAATAATTTCCAAAATAAACTGTATTACAAAAAATTAAAGACATATGAAGATAACATAAATGTTCAGAATCAGTCAATCAGTTCGATGATAACATTTTAAATGTTAAATACTTATATAAGAGTTTTCATAATCGAAAAAATCAATGTATAAATATTTTGATACAATATTCAACAGATATAAAGCTTTTATAATTGATCACTATTATTTCAGAAATAAATATGCAAATATAATTTCGAGTATTCACCTCATATTTTCGTCCATACTATACAAGCGAAGTTGCTGTCTAATGTTTGCCTTCTCCCTGGCACGTTTCCGTTGAAATTCTTCTTCCACTTTACGCATCGCCTCTAGCTCGCCTTTTCTTTGCCTTTCCTTGGCTTCTGCCTCCCGCGATAATTTTTCCGCCAATCTACGCCTTTCGATCTGTCGCACAGTACTCTGGAATGTGAATCTTCGACCTTTCGAGTTGTTCTTCAATGGTGACTTGATCTCCGGCGCAACCTCCTTATCGTCCTGCAGATTTTGCTGAGTAGGTGAAATGCTCCGTTGTTTCATTTCGGAGATGTTTTCACATGATTTTGAAAATCTATTGTTCACTTTCCCATCGCTCGTGAAAGATTTGTCTTTAAGAATGGCTGAGTTTTTAGACTGCTTGATCGTCTTCTCTATATCTTTGTCGGATTTCCTAAATTCGTCCACGCCGTTTTTACGATATTTCGATCCAATATTATTGCTAAAGTTCTTTTCACTGTCCATCACATTATTCCTGGAATTCAAGCTCTGTGACTGATATTGAGAATCGTTGGATTCGGGCAAGTACATCACGTGACCGCCTGAAGCCAGGTAGGAGAATGAAGGCGGCTTCATTATTATGGGAAAATCGTTGCGATCCTCCAAATCTTCCACCAAATCCTCGTCATCATCCTCGTCGTCGAAACTGGGCTTCCAGCCGGACGGTGAAGATCGCGTCGCATCCGTGATCTGCGTGTGTTGGAGCGACGTCGGCGCGCTTGTCGACAGAAGCCAGTTATCATCGAGGACGTCGCGAGTACGTTTTCTCTCGAGATCCAACGGACCGAGCCCGAGGGCGCCCGAAACCGATCTCTTCAGTTTCTGCAGCGAGTTAAAGGTTGAGCCCTCCTTGCTCTTTGGATCCGGATTGTATAGATACATGCGATTGTCGTCGCGCGGCAACGACAGCGAGAACACGTGTGCCCTGGGTGGAAATTTCACGGGGGTCGGCATCGGCGGGGGCGAGTCCACGCCAGCATCGCTACTAGATTCCTCGCCCAGATCCTGCTGCGGCGTCCACGTCGGTCTTGTCGCTGGTGTTTTCAATCTATTATTGTTATTGGTATTGGTGCTGACGTCTAATAAGTCGTCATTAGCTGCGCCAGCATCCCCGGATATACCAGAATCGCCCGATTTATCATGAGAACTTCGTGGACCGAGAGCGATCAGTGGCGGAGGTGGTCTCGACAGACGTTCGATGCGTTCCTCAAACATCACCTGATATCAAACATTTCATAATTTCTTAACTGGAAGTATTCTGAATAATTTATACGCTCTCTTCAATTTCATTTACTTGATAATTATTACTTTGCTAGTTGTTATACTAAGAGATAGTCTCTAATTAGTATTGTACATTCTTCGCGCACTTACCGGAACCTCCTCGCTCGCTGTGCTCATGTTTGGTCCTGGTGCTTCTAACGCTGATAACAACCTCCACGCTGCTGATGGTGAGAATCGCGGAATTTCCAGTTGCTTCTTAGGTAACGTGGGTCGTAATTTTAACGAAATATCCTCCATTCCGCTTTTCCCCTGATAATCACAAAAATTCGATTTAGCAAAAAAAATTTCCTTACATGTTTCGTTTTAAATAAATAATTATATTAAATAATTGCTTATATGTATATAAACTTGTGATTTTATAGATCTTATTACAAATAAAACAATTACTCACATCATCTGTATAATCGTGGCATTCGATCGATCCATTGACCACTCTAGCTTGCAACCTGGACTGTATTTGTTCCATGTGCTGGTCCACGCAATTCCGCGACTCGTTCGACAATGCTTCGTCCATGCCGAAGTAGAAAGTCTTCGGTGCGGATTTCTCCGGCAACGGTAGTCTAGAAAAACGATCAAAAACGATATATTAGATTCTGCACAACGATTATAAATGACGGTACTAATTAGTCATCTGTTATCGTCGCCATCAGAAAATTAATTGCTCCTCTATTCATGTCGCGCGCTCGCACGAGACATTCATTGATAAGAGAAATAATTAGAATGGCTTAGGCATACGCGCGTATACGCGACTCGCGAGAGAGATAAATCGATCTGAGATGCGAGAGCAACTTACACGTGCCAATTTTTCTCGCGCATAACTTCCTTGGCTTCTGGTTTCCTCACGAGCTTCTCTTTGGATTTCGCGTCCTTCTTCTCCACCGTCGCGGGAACAGGTTCGCAGGGCCATCTCTTCTCGTCCGGTGCGCCATCAGTATTCCTAGCGTCGCTCTTCCGCCATCTACGATCGGAATCTCTCTCCTTTCCTTTCTCTTTGGCCTCGCTCGTTCGCTCGGGCGTGCTCTCCCTCCCGGAACCTTGCCCGCGAGGATCCGTCGCCCTGACGTAGGGTCTCACCGGACTCTCCGATCTGGTTCTCGCCGGCTCCGCCGTGTTCTCATACTTCCGGCTCTTGGCCACGCTCTTTGCCCGTTGATAATCCTCGAGTAGATCTTTCCGTTGCTTCTCCGACGAGGAGTATTTCCCCGCGTCCAGACGATCTTTCGGATTTTTCCGAGAAGGATCCTTTGGCTGCACCATAGATGATTCGTCAAACGTCGCCAATTTCTCGACGATTCGTCTCTTTCCACCTGATATGGCTTCCGTTTGTCTCTCCTCCACGTAATTTTTGGTTTTTCCAAGATCGCGCGCGTTTTCTTTGCGTTCTTCGTACATGTTGAGCTTGCTTTCCGATCGATTACAACGATCGGTCAGTCGCCTCTCCTCGACGATCCTGTTCTCGATCGTACATTCATTGCGGGAATTCTCCTCGTTCTTCGCCGATCGTTTTTCCGGTCTTTTTGCCTCTTCGACTTTCAATGCTTTCAAACTTCGCTCAACATCGCTGTTGCGCTCCGTCAGATTCGCGGACTCCGACGAGGACCTACCGCCACAGTGGAGCTTGTTGCGCACCTTCCTGGCTACCTGCAGTAACTCCGCCTGGAACTCTGGACTGCTCATGCTTCTTTGCAACGTGTTCTTGCCATCAAAGATCCGCAAACGCCTCTGCTCATCCCGGCACCAGCGATCCTGATGAAGATCGCGCCAAACGAGTCTGTTCTCCTTGTTGGCAGCACGACCGTCCTCACCCCGCCACTGTCGTTCGTTCTCCAATCTACCACCGCCGCCGTTGTTCTCGCAACGTTCCCCGACGTGAGTCTGCGACGATGAAGATGAGGACAGCCAGTTGACCTGCGCCCTCTTCGTTTCCGCTCGCGTCTTGAAGAGGCGCGACCGCCGAGGCGGTGGCTGAACTTCTTCTTCGCCGTGACAACCATTCTGACGATGCTGGCCAGATTCTGTATATCTGTAGGCAAGATTTCTACATTTCAAAATGCGATACCGATATTTTCCATCGATATAAAAAAATCACTAAAATTGCTAAAAAATATTAAGAAAAATAAGAAAAAATTGGATTAAAAAAGAATTATTAAAAGAAATATTAATTCTAGAAAAGCTTTAGAATATCAAATTGATTAAAAATAAATGTTGAAAAATAAAATGATTCGGGAAAAGAAAATGATCGATAACAATTGCATTTCTCTACCTGTAGGAATCGGGGGACGATCTGTCGACGACGCCGTTCGACGGCGGCGCCGGTGCCTTGTACTTCTTCTTGTTCCTGTACCGGCTCTCTCGTTCCTTGCAGTCTCGCTCGGGATAATGTCCGTTTCCGCAATGCCGGTGTTCCATCGCGTGCTGATGCTGTTGCTTCCCGTTGCAACGCATCGCCTCCCGTCCCATCGGCGAATATCGCAGATCAGGCTCGCTGCCGAACCTCTTCAGCTCCTGCATCTCGTTCTCCATGCAGCAGCCTAATTCGCTCCGATAGTGGCAGCAACGGTGATCGAGCTTGCGTCCACGCGAGGCGCCGATGTTCGACGCCGAGGTACTGCGGCTGCGGAATATTCCTGGCTGGAAAGCGAGAGAGAAACGAAATCCTAACTTTTTGAAAATTCTAATCCACTTTTCACTTAATTTTTATATAATTTAAAAAATTTTTTTTTTTCAGTGCCGACAGTTTAATCTGAGAAGTGAGAGAAATGTGGGCGTAATATTTACATATGTCTGCCAATTATGATAAAAGTTCATTAAGACAGCTCTGATCACATCTACACAACGGGTTCAAAGATTATTCTTTCTCTCTTAAGTATTACATAAAGGTAGCACGCGGTAAAGTGTTACGCGCGTTTATTCTTAGAACATTGTTGATTTACAAAGCGTGCGCGCGACTTCCGTCTGATGAGCGTAATAAATGCTCTATAGAGCAAGGACCTCCTTCCCTTCTCCCCTTAATAAAGCAGACGGATGAGAAACTGTCGTCTTTGTGCGACCGTTGACACAAAGAGTTCGATGAAGGTCGCGTGATACATTTCCCGAATTCGCGATATGTAAGAAGTCATTCTGTAGAATATATTCTTAACCGGGTTATTACGCGACGCATAGCACAAGACACGTACGAATTCTGAACAATTGCATATGCATTACCTTCATTCTGGACGACGGAAACAGGCTTCTTCAAAGACAGAAGGAGGACTGACTGTCCGAGACGCAGGAGATTGAATTAAAACATATTAGTGGGAATAAAAATGTATATAACTTTTCGGACACAGAGATGATTTTGTGGAGTGCGGACTTTCACGCTGAAGATTCGGAGCAGAAAATTCATTATGCTTTTCGTCGTTTCATACTTTCGGCTGCAATTTGCACAGCAACCTAAATAATAAATATCTCCAACGTACAAATATATATTTATTACAAAAATGTATCCTCTTTGTCTTTAAAAAATTCAATAGATATAAATTAAAAATATAGATTAATAAAATTACAATAAAATTATTTTATAAGACTAATCTTTTTTTTCATGCTGCGTCTCTTTTAAAAGTTGATCGATTATATCAGACATTTCGATGGAATAGATATTCCGCTCTCGAAGCAGAGTGTGAATAAATATACGACGATACATTTCAAACAGAAATGAATTCAGTCCCTGAGAGTAAAGATTATGCATACGAAGAATCAGATATAATGTAACGTACCAAAATATACAACTAACAATAAGCAAAAATTTTCCGCGCAATTAACTCTAATTTACTGCCATTATGATGCTGTCATTATTACTACGAGCGCTACACAGTCACTACCGTTAATTAGGTACTGTTAACAATGAAAATTATTAATCGACATAAAAAGTCGTGGCCCTGAAGACAAATTTCAACGCAAGTGCAACGAATTGAGTGACGACTTGTATTCTCGCACACGAGAGCAGCAGCATGGCACGCCACGTCATCAGCGCGACTCGAAAAGCCGCCGCGAATCCTTACCTTATTAAGGTCGTGCGGAAGCGTGAGGGCCGGCGGCCTGCGGCCGCTTATGGTTCCCCCGTTGTGAATGATGTTGCCATTATTGGTGGCGCGCAACCGCTGATTGGGCGGCTCCGGTAGGACCTTGAGTCCCGCCGGCTGCTGAGGATGATGTCTCGCAAGCTCCCGAGGAAAGGACTGCGTCCACCCGCGTCTGCCAATCTCCTGCGACGGTCCATTGGACGCGCAGTATTGATGGGAGCTGCTGCTACCCATTTCTATGCCGATCTAGCGTCTCTATGGAGTGCAGCACGATTCGCCATTCATCTTGTATCTGCGGAAGATCAGAAAGAGAGGACCAATTATCCAACAGGTTTGCCTGAATCCGTCATTGAAAGATACTGTGCCATCTAATTGGAATTCGTGAATGTAGCATAAATACAAGAAGCAGACTTTTTATGTAAATAATAGCTGATTAAGTTACAGTATATTTTTCTAAAGTACATTTAATGTATTTATATATTATTCAAGTAAGATTGTCTAGATAGAAGCTGCATGTTTGCAACAAGTTTATAAATTAATTTAAAAATAGTTGAATTAAAAAATAATGTTCTAGTATAATCATTCTTGAAGAAAATACAAAGATTATATATTTAATTGAAATGTGATAGAGGTAGCTAGATAGTAGTAACTACACAGAGAGAATTTTCTCTTAGAATTTATCCTGAAAATATCGTGGGACAATATGATATTGGATGAATTTTATAAGAGTTTTCTGATTGATACCACATAAGATATAAAATATATTTGATTAATTTTACTATGTACATATTGTTTTTTATTGTGGTAAATATTAATCAGAGAAATTATTCTTCCAATACCATATTGTCCCACGATTATCATGATTTTCAGAGTAAACTCTCAGAGGAAATTCTCTGTGTAATTAAACCATAATTAAATAATATTAAAAAATTGTCAAGATGTGAGAAAAAACAATAATTCTTAAAACGAACAGAATGGACACCCAGAAAGATAAAAAAATATAAATATATAAAATAAAAAATTATTAAGTGGATGCAAATATTTATACAATGTTATGAATCAGATTTAAATACTCTGTATGATCAGATGGTCAATTAAGAGAACCACTTTACAAACCTGTTCCAATTTCTCTTAAACTTGTAAAAAGTACGCTTTTGCATACTAATTTGCTGGCGCTTTGCATATGACGATTAAGGGTGTAATTAAACGTTAATAAGTATAATCAATTTGCAAATATGTTGCACAATCCGCCTTAAATTTTCTTCGATAAGGCCGCTTCTGTGTAAAAAAACGCAGGATTAAGGGCGCAATTAAACGTTAATAAGTGTGATCAATTTGCAAATATGTTGCACAACCCGCTTTAAAAATTCTCTTCGATAAGGCCGCTTGTGAGTAAAAAAAACGTGTCGGCATTAACGCCTGATATATATCTAATTAATATGTTTTTCGTAAGAGGCATATTTTATGGCTCAACTTCTCATCCATGATGATCACTAATTAACGAAAAATCATAAATACAAATTATACGAAAACGTTTCATTCATCTTGTCGCTTTCGGCAAAGAAATAATCAATGTAAACGTCATATAAAAATAATATCAATTTTCAATTTACGTGACGTACCACATCTTTTCTCGGAACAAGTCCGTAAAAGAAAAAAAATACCACCGTTACTCAACTTTCTAACATCTCACGCCGGAGGAAGGATAGTGATCCGCGAGACCATTGATGAACGAGAAGACAGCGCAACGAGACTCCGCGAGGTAATGGAACAAGAGGGATGGAACAAGAGGAGGGTAAACGCACGCGAGTTGGCCGAACGATCTGGGCAGGCCGGTTATCTTACAGTTAGACGTGGTTTAACCTCCTGTGTCGGTCGTGTCGGGATGCGAAGAGAAAAGGAGGGAAAGGGACAGAGAAACAGAGGAAGAGACGGTTCTTTCTAAAGTAAGTTCTTCCATTCAGCACCGGTACACAGGAGCAGGTGCCCAACCTACAGCACACGCGACCCGTCCGTGTCGATCGGGTAGTACCGGTAATACCGCTAATCCGCGGGAATGAGCGAGAGAGCGCGAAAAGTGTCCGAGAAAAGTCGCGGGACACTACGTCGTTGAGGCAAACGAGTAAGGCGGCTTTTATTAATGTAGTCTCTTCTCCTATCTCGCGGGATTAAACTGGAAATAAAGCAGCAGGATCTGGAATTGCTCGCACGAGTTAATATTCGGAAAAAATGCGCGAGGCAAATGAGCGAAATTATATTCACGTTCAGCCGATCAGATGATGTTCTTCCGATATCATCGATATCAGATCTGCAAAAGGCGCGACGATTTAGATCTTACTATATAGCTTTGCTTGATAAAGAGGATTGAAATTATTTGCGTAACAAGAAATAATTGGCTGACTAAGGAATACAAGTGTAAATGGTAGTTTAGATATCCTTATAGATATGCACAGACTATGTGAGTACGCTATTTGCGTTTCCTGAAATGGAAAAGCTTCAACGTTTCACTTCCGCGCGTGTGACGCGATGGTGAAACAACGGGGACCAGATTGATCGATATCGTAGTCAGATCAGAGAAAAAAACAGAGCGTGTTTCTCACAGTTTCACTTCCGACAATGCATTCTGAAATTCACGCAGCTCATAGTTATTTTATGGTGATACGTACGCAATTTTATTCTTCGAAGGACGATAAACGCGTAATACTAATATTAATTGCGCGAATCAATGCAAAACAATATTCTATGGTAATGTTGCATGGCCAACTTTATTTCACAGTGTAAAGCTTGTATACATCGTTGAGAACAATGCAACATTGTTGATATTAATGATATCAAGATGTTTTTTTTTTTTTTTTTCATTTTGACCAAACCCGCAATTTGTAATTTACTTTGTAGCACACGGAAAAAATTACTTAGTATAGCTAAATTTTAGAAATGTAATTAAATTTTAAGTGTAATATAGGACCACCTAAAATTTAGCTATATAATACTTTTTCTCTCTCGATTAATATCTATCACAATAAAAAATATTAATATATATACATGATAAAATTAATTAAACATATTTTATACGCTATTATATGATAGATATTATAATATTTTTTATTGTGATAAATTTTAATCAGAGAAACTCATAAAATTCTTGAATCGTTTGAGCCATGATTTTCAGGGCAAATTCTAAGAGAAAATTCTCTCTGTGTACAAAGTACATTGTTATGTCGAATGCAAAAGTATACCTAATATAATTTTTCTAAAACCGTGAAAAATAATCGTTTAGAATAATACTAAACTTTTTTTACGCTAATGATAGAACCATGATTTTAATTCTAAATTACTATGTCGAATGTAAAACCGTATAAGGACCATAATTCTAAATTCTCTCTTACTCGAATAAGTAAAACCGTGAAAAATAATCGTTTAGTTATACGCTATACGTGATAAATTTTAATCAGAGATTCTTGAATCGTTTGAGCCATGATTTTCAGGGCAAATTCTAAGAGAAAATTCTCTCTGTGTACAAAGTACATTGTTATGTCGAATGCAAAAGTATACCTAATATAATTTTTCTAAAACCGTGAAAAATAATCGTTTAGAATAATACAAAATTAATTAAACATTTTTATACGCTATTACATGATAGATATTAATATTTTTTATTGTGATAAATTTTAATCAGAGAAACTCATAAAATTCTTGAATCGTTTGAGCCATAATTTTCAGGGCAAATTCTAAGAGAAAATTCTCTCTGTGTACAAAGTACATTGTTATGTCGAATGCAAAAGTATACCTAATATAATTTTTCTAAAACCGTGAAAAATAATCGTTTAGAATAATACAAAATTAATTAAACATATTTTATACGCTATTATATGATAGATATTAATATTTTTTATTGTGATAAATTTTAATCAGAGAAACTCATAAAATTCTTGAATCGTTTGAGCCATGATTTTCAGGGCAAATTCTAAGAGAAAATTCTCTCTGTGTACAAAGTACATTGTTATGTCGAATGCAAAAGTATACCTAATATAATTTTTCTAAAATCGTGAAAATAATCGTTTATAGAATAATACACTAAACAGAGAGTCAGCTGACTTTTCTTCGACGAGAGCGATGAAATGTCGCGATAACACATGGCGATATCTCGGCATTCGCTCAGCATCATCGGAGCGTCATCGGTTCTTCGGCGGTTTCGCGCGCGATTGTCGTGCCGGCGAGAGGATTCTCCGGGGCACAAAGTGGCAAGTGATGCATGACGGATGGCGGCGGTTATGATAACTCGAGCGTAGGGTACCCGCGGGATAGAAGGGGGCAAGGAAACGGAGGAAGAGAAGGAAGAGAAGGAGGCGACGAAGCGCGAAGGGACTCGAGGTATAGAGAACCCGGGGAATCGGAGAGGGCAGGAGGAAAGAGGACGTTTGCCCCCTCGCGATGATCATCGCCGAGAGTCATCGAACTTGGAAGGATAGGAAGAACGATTCTCCGTCTGCCGTCTCGCGTTCGCGATAGCTCGCCTCGCTCGTTCGCTCGTCTAGGATAGAGGCAGCTCTAATACCAGCCCCGGCTATCTTCGAGGAACTCGAATCGAACCCGGACTGTATTCCCGGGCGATATACATACGCCCACGTGTCGCGATTGTCGGCACAAATCATGTACTTCCTGCTGCAAACGCGCCGTGCAAAAATTCTGAAAGAGCGAGCGCGCAGACTGACAATCCGATTCGATCCGATTGCGGCCGCGTTGGGTGGTTCGTTTCTTTTCTTCTTCATTTTTTCGCACTTATTTATTTTGATGAAATAAGTGGAATCGAGACGAACTCTCTGTCTCTTTCTCTCTCTCTCGCTCTTTCTTTCCTCCTCTGTCGTGTATGCAATTTACGCAACAACACTACTGTACAGTTTTATTAATCGACGAAAGAAATGGATGGAAAAAACATCGCGAGATCTCTTTCGCAAGAGAACTGTCATTAGAGATTAGCTCCGCGCTCGTTCCGCACCTATAACGGAAATATCATTCGCCGCATTTAAATCGTGGAGATTCGCGTGTGCAAAATAAAGACCGGGAGTTCTCGCTAGATCGGAAATGATACCGAGCCGAGAGTCGTTATTACATTCCTGGATTTGCGAAATGAGAGGGCGCGTATCTCCTCTTTCAATAGCAATGTCTCACTCTGTATTATAGTATGTTCCTTCCTCGTGATAGCAATATTTCACCTTGTGTACAACCACGCATTTCGTCTTCCGACAGTAACGTTTAATGCTCGGGTAAGATTTTTCCTAGCTGAAAATAGC